TCTCTGCTGCCATTACATCCACACAGGTTCACAAGTAGCCTTTGAAGAAAGGTTAAAGCAACTTATAAAGATATGAAAACATCTACTGTATGATGAAGATTATAGACTGAACAATTAAGGTCATGCTATCAGACATCTTTTGTAAATGAATTGTTGATGCCATTTCTTCATGACAGCATGGAACTTAATGCAGGAGCAATCTCTTTGTAGAAAGAAGAATAAAAGATTTTGCAGTAAGTGGATAGCCCAAGCATACCTATAACCACAATTGTCACACCTTTATGGATTTAGTGCACTGAAATGTCTCCTTCTTGGGCCGGCCTCGTTTCTTGGGAGTCTCCATCACCTCAGTCGAGAAAGACACAAGTCATTAACAAGAAAGGGCAAATGCATAATGTTTACCTTTGCATATGGTCTGCTCTGTTAATTCTTATTTAAACATATATGGTGACAGGAGTCTACGGGGGTGGATCAAAAAGTTCTCGGCCTCACCTAGAAAATAAAGGGCAAACTCCTATTCTTTAGTATAACTGTATACTATGATGTCTTACATCACTGCACACAAAAATTCAAATTTCTATATTCATTAGTTAGCACGTGACGCCCCGTGAAAATGGGGCGGGTGAGGGCAAAATCACAAAATGGCCGCAACAGAAGCGTGTGCTGTGATCATGTATATCGATAAAAAGGGATTTCTCGTAAGGAAATCCATGAAGACATGGTCAGGACACTTGGTGATGACTCCCCTTCTTATTCAACTATAAAGAAGTGGGTTGCTAGCTACAAGCGCTGCAAGGTGAGCACCAAAGATAAACATATGTCAGGATGCCACAAATCAGCACCATGGACAATCCAGTTGAGGCCATCCATCACATGGTAGTAAATGACAGATGTGAGACTGTCCAACATGTAGCAGAGTCTTTAGCCTGTGTTGTGGCTCTGTGCACAATGTTTTGTCAGACATCCTGGGGATGAGCAACCTGTCTGTAAGGTGGGTGCCTAGAATGTTTTCTGAACATCAGAAGTTAAACAAGCTGGTCCAATCCATGCAATTACCTCAAAACATTTTTCGCCCAAGATGAGACATGGTTTTACCACTTTCACCCCAAATCAAAACAACAGTCTGAGAACAAACAATGAATGAAGAATGTTTTCCGGCCCCCAAGAAGTTTTATCGAGTTTCATCCGTTGACAGGGGTTTTGTCTCTGTTTTCTGGGACAGCAAGGGAGTAATCATGACTGAATACCTGTGAATAGGTTAAAACATCAATGGGGAGTACTATTTAACAGAATATCAACAGTTGAGGACAACGATCAAAGAGATAAGGAGAGGAAAGCACCGAGCTGGCGTGATGACAATGCACCTGTCCACACAGCACAGGGGTCAGTGACAGCAGCAAACGAATTTGGCTTTGAAGTCTAACCCCACCCTTCCAATTCACCTGACCTAGCACCCTCGGACTTCTACCTATTTCCTAAACTGAAGTTCCACTTACGTGGTCAACGTTTTTATGGTAATGATGACGTCATCAGTGCGGGTGAGCCCTATCTGGGGGCTCCAGATTCAACCTTCTTCCACAAGGGGAAAACAAACCCAGAACATCATTGGACCAAGTGCATTGCAGTTAGAGGGGACTATGTTGAAACATAGTGTAAGAAATTTTTTTCTGCCACGACGTTTTCTAGGTGAGGCCGAGAACTTTTTGATCCACCCTCGTAAATCCCTCCTGCTATAAAATTGCAACATGATGTAACCCAACATAAGTTACCATGGTGACAGACATCTGGTTCAGGTCATTGACCTTATTTGTTTGGAGAAGAAGAAGAGGAGGAAGAAACAGAGCAAAACAATAGGATTCTTTGAAAGTAAAGGTAAACACAAAAACAACTGGTTGATATTTGTTAGCCAAAGACCTTCAGACCTTCCAAATGTTATGAAGATGTTAGTTTTCAACAGGTGCAAAAGAATCAAATTAAAAGCTTCAGTGAATATTTCCTGGTATCCTGTTGCAAGTGACACTGTAATGACCTCTAACCTTCTCTGACTGTATGTGTGTTAGAGTGTGATTGTGTCTGAGTGTTGGCAAGACGTTCAAATGGTCACTTTTGCGCCCCTTGTTGCTTTTTATGGTACTGAAGAATACTTAATTTGCATAATCAATTAGGCAATAATATGATGGCATAGTGGAAAATGTAAGCCCGTCATTATTTGGCAGCCCAAAATAAATGCTGGG